GGATGGATGGATGTTGGTTAGAAGGTCTCCGGAACGGCTTAACAGATCTTGATGAAATTTAGCATAGATGTAGAACATAGTTTGGAAGAATACATAGGATATTTACTAAGATTTTTTAATTCCGCACGAACGTAGTCGCAGGCCATAGGTTGTACATAATGTTTTCGAAAGTATCAGACACCTACGTTATATTGAATCGACCTAACAGTACCTTTATTGTTCTCAGTTGGTCATTTTTTAAAGATTATCTGGTCACATTGAATTCTGTCTCATTTCGAAATCTACCTCCCGCTGAGAAACGACCATAACTTACAATAACCCTTTTTGTTATTAAAATATTAGCCACTTCGTACTTTGATCATTTTAAATTGTTATGTCTCGCAGTTTTATGGGGCGTATCCTTTTATTTTTTAAGTTTTTAAAAGGAATAACTTCGTTTTAAAATTCTATAGTGCGACAAGATGATCTGAGCCTGTAGAGCCGCTGCTATCGTGGTTAGCTGTCAGAAAATATGTATTGCTATAGCCCTCGACTCCCTCCGCGTGGAATTAAAAAAAATTAATAAGTAGACTATGCGTTCTTCCAGAATATGTTCTACATCTATGGCAAGATCCATGTAGTTGTTTTGGAGGTACCTTCAAAAAAACGTCCATCTTAACTTTCGCATTTATAATGTTAGTAAGATCTACTTAAACATAGATAGTGGCATAAAAGAAAAAACATGACAGCTGCTAGGGTTTTGTGACTTTTTTTGACATTGACAGGAGCTAGTGTGGTGTCACCATTTAGTTTAACTTATACCAACCGGGCCAGAGAACTTTGACCGTTTATAATTTTGTTTTTAATAATAGTAATTATTTTTTTATGTCTGTTTTAAATACACAATTAAATATCGAGAAAATATTGGATTTAAATCTACGTATTTCAATTAACAAACAATATCTGTATTACAAAAAACATGGAAACTATGTTCTTAAACACGTGTTTTAACCCTTTGAACGCTGAAGGATATTATAGTTTAAAATATTATAGATGTTTGTGAGAACGTATCTCCAGAAGAGCCGCATAGATCACGATGAAATTTGGCATAGATGTAAAACATAATCTGGAAGAACACATAGGCTACTTATAAAGTTTTTTTTTTTAATTCCGCGCGAATGGAGTCGCTGGCAGCACCTGGATAGATAAATGTGTATTGCCTTACTATCAAACAACTATTAAATTTAGAACAAACAGCTAAGGTTTAATGCATTCAAGCGTAAAAGCGCTTCTGAAAGCGCTATTAAAGTGGTTAACCATTGAACGACTAACCGCTGAAATACTGCAGAGTGTTGATAATTTTAAATTGTACGATACAAAAGCATAAATATATTGGTACGATTCAAGAATGAATTTCCTGTTAACACAGGATTGTTTTTTTCAGGTTTCCACTAACGAAACACATACAAAACATTATTGTTATCTCTATTTTTTATAGAGACATAAAAACAACTATAAGTTTTGTACATGTTTTGGAAATTAATAGTTACAAAGTTTGAGTTCACTATAGTTATGCAATTAGTGTAAGCTGTTATACACGAGCGCTTTTTAAACGCGAGCTAAAAACCGTTCAAATAGAATAAAGTCATATCCATGTTTTGATATGACAGCGCTTTTAAAACGCGACATTGCTTTTATCGGGCAGCGCAACGTTCGCTTGAGAACTGCCAACGCGGAGTTTTAACGCAGCGTTAAAAACGCTCGTGTGAAAGCGCTAATACTTATAAGTTTTGATAACTACACTAACTACGCATTAAAACTTTTTTGTTAACGTGATCTTTTATAACAAAACTAATTCATACAACACACGCTTATGTACCAAAAGTCTATACAAAAAATATTATATTAGGAAGAAACATTTCATTCTTTGAATTACAAAAAACGTATCAAGAAAATTTTGGAGCGTTGAACTCAGGGGTTAAGTAATTGACTTGTCTATGAGTCCTGGGTTCGAATCCTGCCATGTATCAATGTGTTTTTCGATTTATATATATAAATTTATCCGACGTTCTTACGGTGAAGGATAACATCCTGATTCCTGCTCATATCTGCGAAGAAATTTAAAGACTTGTGTGAAGTCAACCCGCACAGGGCCAGCGTAGTTGACTATGGCCTAGTCACCCCTAACTTAGGGAAAGCTACGAAATCCTTAGCGGGGACGTTTAGTGAGCTGAAATGGGCTAGAATAGAAGCTAATTAAAAATCGCGCAGGAAACTTTAACTAGATTGGGTGGGAAAATACAACTTTAGAGTCAAAGCTGTCATTTTTATTTCCAGATTAATAAAAATTATTAAACTCGTATTATAGGTAAGTCTTTTATAATATAGCTCTTAAACCCAATTAAAAATATTTAAAAAAAGGGATCTTTTTCTAGAATTAAAATTTATTAGTCGTCATTAATAAATTATCTGTATACTAATATAAATTCTAAAACTAACCGCAGCACGCAACTTTGTCTAACTTTTTTTATTTAATTGATACACGCCTTGAGTTTGTAGATGTAAGAATAGCATTATTCTTATAAATAATTTATTTCTCATGTAACTTTTATACTTTTAAAGTACTTTACTGGTATAAAGTGACTGAGATTTCGTGGAAAACTCTAGAAAGTGTATGATAAAGTGTTCTTTATAAATCTCATTGCTATTGCGAGTTGTTACAAAGTACCGTAATTACGTACATTCATTTTTATAGTAACTAGCTTTTGCCAGCGAATCCGTCTACATGGAATTAAAAAAAATTACTTAGTAAGTCTATGTATTCTTTCAGATATGTTCTACATCTATGCCAAATTACATCAAGATCCGATCAGCTATTTTGGAGTTATCTTCTAACAAAAATCAATCTAAACTTTTTACATACATATAATATAAGGTTATTATAGTATTGCTATAGTCAGAATTGTTAATTGGTCACAAAGGAACACCTTTGGTGTATATTTACCTTAGCACTTATAGTTTTTAAGTATTGAATTCTCCTAACAAAGCGTCACATTAAACCTCTCTTTTGTGGTTGGTACTAAGTGAGGTAAACTTTCATAATGTAATTTAAAAAAAAAAATACAAAATAAAATAAGACAGATTAAAAAAGTACAGGAAACCCAAAGATATAAAAAGTAAATTGCCACCATAGACGTATTTTTTTAATCAAATAGAAAATGGAAGTTAGTAATTACATAAAACGATTAAGTCTAATTAAGTTAGCTTGGATTATACTTTGCCATATGCTGTTTAATTAACTTGTCCAATAAAAGCTTAGTCTTTGATTAAAAAACGTATTATAAAGGTTGGTTACCGTCGCTAATTAAAAAACTTTGTTTAGTTGCTCTATTGAATAAGAGATGGCGCTACTTGTTTCAGTTAGGAATAAAGGTTTTGTTCATTTAACGCTAAAATTACCTTCAGACTCTTGAGATTTAACCAAAAATTTGTGACAAATAAGTTTTTAATTAAATAATTTTGTAGGCTATGTGGAAAGTAAAATTTTAAGATAAATAAATGTTATGTTTTAAACAAGAATTGTTCATTACAAACGTCGTTATGAGTAAAGTAACCTATATAAATAAAATATAGCTTTAAAACATAATCATTGTAACTGTATTAGTACACTTTTTCAGTTTTCTTAATTTAATATTAATCAAAAGAATACTTACGTGGATGTCTTCTTTTTATTCTTATTTTGTATTTCACAAGAACAAAAACATTTAACTCGCGAAAGCTACTATTGGAACATAAATTATTCATCAAATGGATACTTCATTGATTATTGTTAGTTACTTTGTTTTTAATTAATATTTTGTCACACGGTATAGAACACTTTTTTGTTTTCCTTTCAAAATAAACGATAATTGCGACGCGAAGTTTTTCAAAACACATTGACGTATCGAATGACGTCAGAGACTAAATATTTTCTGATTGGTGTTTCACTAAAGATGGCGGCGACAAACAAAGATGACATATCCTTCACAATAATTATCTTTTCATTCTACTTTTACTTATTTTATGCTATTAAAAATAATTGGAAGCTTATTTAAAAAAAAAACATACTTTATGCATATAAATAAGAATTTGTAATGTTAATATAAGTAAATCTTATTTTTTCTAAATCCTCAACGTTTATTGTTTCGTTTAATTTTTTAATATACCCACTAAATATATTTATTTCAAGAACTTTGCTGATAGGGTGACTGAATTTAAAATTTTCATACTACCAAATTATTTATGCGATACGTACTAGGTTTTTTTCGCCACTTACCGTGGGTTTCTGAGACCAAAATTTTTTATTTAAAATATAGAGTTATCTCTGTTTTGTAAAAGATAATGATAGGGATTTGGAAACCCACGGTTAGTCCGCGCGGAATTATAGCTCCCTAGTATCAAAAGAAGGTTTGTAATCGGTCCCGTAGTTTTTGAGTTTATTTGGGACGTATAAAAATTAAAAAACTTTCATTGTATAAAATAGTATCGTAAATAAAGGTATAGACGGCACAAATAATGAATCTAGCCTCTTATACGTAAGTAAGTTAAAAAATTAAATATCTATCAGTTATGGAAAATGAGAAAACAACAGCACGTGTAGCCGCGTGCAAAACCTAGTAGATATTCACGACGCAGCCATTCGAATTTCGAACACAAAAACTTTTTTTCACAAAGTCAAAGGCAGGTGTGCAATACGTTACAGAGAAAAAAATAATTTGGATTCAAAGCAACATTATAGGTGGCGTGCCAACATAAAAACATTCCAGACGTCGCATTTAAGGATATTCGAGGAACCAATATCGACTATTGTAGTTTTTCATCTCACAATAGCGTTGGAATTTTGATAATAATCCCAACATTTAACCTCAATACGCATTGGGATATAGTAGGTGGGCATGAGTTTTTGAGCTTTTACACGCCGCGCCCTCCTCCCCCTCCTCCCGCAACCCCCGCCCGCGCAGTCGCCAGTAGAACTTCGACGTTGAATGTGTGTGGTTGTGTTAAATGTCCCAACCGTTTAAATCGTTCTCTGATCAAACGCTGTTGTTAAACAAACGATCCAACCTATTTATACGATCTAATTTCGTGCCCTTTGATAGCGGTAGTGATTTGTGTTTACGTCTATAAAATATACGATTGTTTTTGCTTGTGTTTTACAATTTTGTGATGGATTTTGTGTTGATGTGCTCAAAACACTATTGAAATGGAATAGTGCATTTGTAATTTAACACGGTATGTATTTTAACTGTTTAATTAAGTGTAATGTATATCGAATTAAATGTCATAAAATGGCGGTTTATTGCTTTGTGACATTTGGTTGCGTTTTATTCGAAACAATGAATTTCGTTTTATAGTTTATACGGGGACAGATTTTATAGGTTTTTATATTTAGATGTTATTTTGTATAAAAGCAAAATTTTACTATTAAAATAAACATTTTATTACGGTCATTAGGACAACGTACAAAAGTGTTTTTTAAGTTTTTATAGAAAATAAGGCACTTCATTTACTATTTTAATTTTCGTGTCAATAGTTTTTTAAATGTTACCATTGGGCGTTTTATTAAAGTCTAATACGAAGAAATATTATCTATGTTGCAAATTTCTTGCATTTCTGTTAATAAAGCTGCAGTAATCCAATGTAGTTCTTCAAATACAATCGTATATCTCTATGATAATGTATGCAAGTGCCAAAATATAATTTTGAAAAATGGCGGATCAGTAATATTGCTATTGGATTAAGATTTGCTTAACATTTAGGTCACGGACAACTCGTTAGTCGTTAATTCTTAATAACTGTTCAAGATATAGGTTTGTGTTTTTTTACTTATTGTTGTTTAATTACTAATTATTTGTTAACAATAAATTTCAGGTAGACATATCGTAATCTCCCAAACGTCTTTGTACTGTGCTATGGGATTGTCAAATTATCACGGGAGGTTTAAAAGAGGGGTTAAGAAAAATCACGAATTATAACTCGCTAAAATAATACGTCACGTGTATTCACTAATGATGTAAATTTAATGTGTAAAGTAATAATATTTTGATAATTTTTATATCTTTGTATTAAAAAAATCACTTGTATCTTAAATAGGTATAGTGGGGGAGGGATAATCTAAAACCTCGCCACATATAAGCAGAAGTGGGTAGGGGTTCAAAAGGTGTTTAAGAAAATCACGTGATTAACCGCTTTGTTACTATGCAGTCGAAAGGAATTAAAATTGTGGTCTATAAATCGAAGTCTATGAAGTTCAAAATATAAACATTAAAATATGTTTTGAAAATATAAAAAAAAAAGTTTTCTTAAAATAATATGTAGGACCATTTTATTCAAACTATTCAATATTTGTGTTTCCACAGTAGAAGTTATTATGCAAATTTAATATCGATTAATTAAAAATTTAAATAACAAGATTTGATTGCGTCATGAATATGAATCGTTATTTGACTTGTTTTTTTTAAAGATAAAATTAATTGGATGCTACACATCGTTAGAAAAATAGTTATTGATGTTAAAAAAATTTATTAATATTGAAATGGACAAAATTTATTTGATAATATTGGATACGTTAAATCGTACATTTTAATAAATTAATTTTGTGTGCTTGCTGAAATGTTACATTATTTTACTTTTTACTAATATTATAAATGCTAAAGTTTGCGATGGATGGCTGTTTATTAGAAGGTATATTTTATGGAGATACCTTGTCAACGGTTCTCGATGAAATTTGGAAAATATAAAACATAGTCTGGAAGAACTCGTAGCTATTAACTAAGTTTCTTTTTTTATTACGTGCGGAGTCGCGGGCAGAAGTTAGTAATACATAAATTACTATTTAGTATATATGCAGTAAAATATACAATTTTGAATATATAGTTCATATATTGAATTTTTTTCTAAGCAAATTAAAATAAATGATGGTCTGTTACCGAAACATCCTTTGTCATCTTGTACTCTTCAAGGTTGGCTGGAATAATAAATTTAGCTCGGATGAATGGAAATTAATATCTATTCTTTCGTATAAATAAGAAAAATATCAAAGTCACTGTCTGACCGCCATTTTGAACGCCTGAACGAATTGATTGAAGAGTGTAGATCCAAAGTACATGTATGTGTGTGTTTATTCAAAATAAGTGGTCGCCCATTGGATAAAATTCGATGACAATTATGTTTTTTTCTATTAAAAATAGCTTTTTGTACGACTTCGCGTGAAGCTGTTCACGCAATTTCATTATTTTTATTACACGTTTAATACCTAATTTTTATCATCCATTCTTAACAATGAAGGAACTCTAAATTCTACAATATTCTAGGTTCTAGAATTTGTAAATTTTTTTGCTATCCTTATTAAGTTCGCGTCCTAACTTTTAGTAGATAAATAATATTCATTTTTGACGGATTTCTCATCTGGAATGTTTCAGTACTACTTTAGTGTTTTTTTTTTCAGAAAGCATTATTTTAGACATCCAAGAAACGCTTTGCGTAGTCCCAGGACTACGCGGAGCATACATTGATAAACGTTGTGTTTATCTCTGCTAAGTAACCTATTTAATTTACCAGAGTAGACTAAAAAGGTTGTTTTTTTTATAAGAACGTACCGTAAAGTCAATTTAAAAGTTTTGATTAAGTTATCAGTAAATTTGTTAACGCCAGTTCGAACCTCATCGACCCTGGTTTTTACTTTTAGCCGCAATTTACGAATAACGAAATAATACTGTCTAACTTGATAAAAATAAACTTTTAAATTAACTTTACGCTTTGGAATTTGTTTCACCAATGATATCTAAAGGTGAAACATTACTTTGATCTTATTTCCTTATTTTGTATTAACAGATTTACGGCCGAACTCAGTAATCGATTCTCGTAGCTTAACGGGAATTATAATTGACAATGATTCATTTGGTTCCTTAACTCAAATAAAAAAAAAACACAGTTTCACTTATGTATACTTTGTTGTAGGTTTTGTGTGGTTTGGACATGTTATGCGGAGGGATGACGATCACATAAATGATAAAGTTATGAGATTGTATGTGCATACAAAAGTAGAGGAAAACCAAAGAAAGTATAAATGGATTGTGTGAAAGAGGATATGCGTAAGAAGGGGGTAGATTCAGATATGACGGCTCATAGAGAGTAGTACATACTGTGTCGACCCTCCGTAGGGATGAAGGCAGGTTGATGACGACGACTTCGTTGTAAATTTCTACTAGTTTTAGGCGCTATAGGGACGGTCTCTTCCGAAGAGTGACCCCTACAGGAGGACCTCTTAACGAATCGAAAACTAATCTGTACTAACATCGAATTGCATGTAAGTTTAGTCGTGATTTTTTCTTTACTATTGTAGAAAGACATGATCTATTGTGTATTGGTTTGATCGAATAATAGTTGAACTGCATTTTATATGAAATAAATCGGATCGAACTCAAGGATCTAATATTGATTTCGGTTATGCAACATCTAGACGCGCGCCGATTTCCCACGGGTTACTACGGTTATTAATAACTGATGGAACTTTTTACACTATTGGTATATTATTATATACTATTGGTATATACTTATGGTACAATGTGAGTTTTCATTGTTGATACACTTGTATAAAAACATAATGTCATCTCTAGGGAACAATGGAGACAATATTTTAAACCCTAGAGCGTCGGTGGCGTAGGCGTTCAGCACTTGACTTGCAATCTGCAGGTCCTGGGTTCGAATCCCGCCATGTACCAATGTGTTTTCCAATTTTTATTTACATATGTACATTTATCCGACGTTCTTACGGTGAAGGAAAACATTGTGATGTCACCTGCACATATCTGAGAAGAAATCCAATAGTATCTGTGAAGTCAACCAACGCGCACTGGACCAGCGAGGTTGATTGTAGCCTAATCATCCCTTACTTAGGGGTAGGCTTCGAGCCACTCAGTGGGGACGTATAGTGAGCTGATGATGATTTTAAACCCGTAATGAATTTGACGGATAACTTTTTACGTTTACTACGTAATTTCTTGTTACTATAAATGCGAATGTTCAGATGGATGGATGAATGCTTGTTACTACATACTTATATCCAGAACGGCTAGACAGATCTCGTTGAAATTCAGTATAGAACGAATAGAAAGAATATAGAACATAGTCTGAACATAAGGCTACTAATTATTTTTTTTTAAATTTATACTTACGTTCGAATATTCCGGACATTTTTTATAGAAAAAAACATATCGTCCTTTTATGTTGATGTTCTTTTGTTTATTGTAAAGATTAGCTTTGGAAAATAAAACAGACTCCACGAATTTATTACTCCGTTTCATGGAACTTTTCGTCTATTCCACTCCATTCCTTTTTCCAAGAATTTATTTTAATTTCCATCATCCCAGTTTGTGAAAATTAAGTTTTCTCAGCTTGTTTTGTTTAGTTCTTTAGCGAGACGGTCGCCTGAAGTTCTTCCAAATCCGTCTGTAAAGTTGAATAATTAATATTATGATATTAATGTTACAGATCGATTGTGAATCAAGTCAATTTAAAATCGGACTATGAAGTCAGTACTTGATTGATTTTTTTAAGGTGCGTTGATTATTACTACGATGTAACATTTCTTTGTAATTGAATGTGTTATAACTGTCACATTTAATTATATTTGTATTGCTCTCCGAACTGAATAAAGGTACACTTTGTTAAATTTGGTCTTTAAATTTTTTACTTACTAATTTTCTATTTTGTCATATTAAATATTGTCTCCATGATGTGTTTTAATTTAGTTATTAAACATTTTAATTAGTTACAGTCAACAAAATAAACAATTTTCTTTGTAGATACAATAGTATTCTCTTAGTCTTTCACAAGAGATGCTCTATGAAGAATTTTTCTTTTTGTCTTTGAAAACGTTAACGTAGCAACAAAAGACCTCTTTGCTCTGCCGATAGTTTTTTTTTCACATTGAATATGACGACGGTCTGAAGAGGCCCTTAAGTTTATTGCATGATTAATATTTTAAAGACTAGAAATATTTTTACAATAAATTCTTGTATTAATCTTACGAATATTATAAATGCGAATGTTTAGATGGATGGATGGTTCTATGTTAGAAATTATCACTAGAACGGCTCAACAGATCTCGATGAAATTTACCAAGGATGTTGAACATAGTCTGAAAGAACACATATACTAATTACTTTTTAAAAATTCGCTCGAATGATGTTGCGAGCGAGAGCTAGAATGACATAAATTATATCTATAGT